ATCAATCATGGTACAAGGTAAAGGTGTATCGAAAAGAATTGTGATGGCTTACCCACGACATACATGGGGGCGTCAGCTGAGGGGGCAGAGATGATGACTTTCTTGGCACCACCCTTCAGATGAGCCCCAGCCTTTTCTTTGGTAGTAAAAACACCAGTTGATTCGACAACGTAATCGGCACCAGATTTACCCCAAGGGATAGCAGTGGGATCTCGCTCAGAGTAAACATCGATAGCTTTGTTGTTGATGTAAAGCTTGCCGCCCGAAGTGGAGACGGTTCCCTTGAATTTACCGTGGGTTGAGTCGTACTTGAACATGTACACCTGTAAATTTAAGAGAGGGTCATGAAGGTATGAAGCCAAGACCGAGACTGATCATGATGGGCTCACCATGTACTCAAGGTCGATGAAGGGGTCGTTGATGCTATAAACACAAGCCAATGATAAGGGTTCAAACGGACAAACAAGGTCGATCGCAGGATAGTGACTAACGCAACAATCTCTACATCACCGTGGATGATAGCATTTCGGGCCACAATTCGACCGATACGACCTGAGAGATTCAGTGAAAAGGCAAGGAGAAAAAAGGGAGGCAGGACGTTCCGAGAGTCAGAGACAATGATGACGAGAGACGATATCAGCGGATTGCTCACCGAAACCATTGATTCCAATTCGGACGGTCATGATGGATATATTGTAGGATATAGGAAATTTGTGGGTGGGAAGAATAGCCTGGAGTTGATGATCTGACAGGATTGGTGATGAGTAGAGGAAGGGGAGTAAAGGGGATTCCAAATGGACCGTGTGGTTCTCTTTATACCGCTGCCCATGATCGGAGAAGTCCGGTGACGTGACGTTGGGGAACCCAAAACTGCGGCGCATCCTTTTAGCGTTCAATTAAAACGGGCTGGGATATCGAGGGACTTAGTTAAGTTTGGGGAACGTGCGGTACAGTAACACATCCTGTAGAGGGTCATCGAGCAAACTTCTTAGTTAAGTTTGGTCATCGAGTGTGAGAGGTTGAGTTTCTATGCCTTGAACTAAGGCCTGGACCCGGCACCGGGGCCAGCGGGCCGGCTCTGGGCTCGGGCCGGGCTCAGGCTGTTTCGGCTCTCAAAAAAAGTTCAAATAGCCCGAAGCGCTGTGCTCCCGGGCGGGACAGAAGTGATAGGAGGTGGGTTTGGGGCTCAGCATTGGACAGCATAGAATGATATACGTGTATTTCTTTGTATCAATAGGTGTGATTGGTTTTTAAATACTGTAGATCTCTGATTGATAAGGTATAACAGCTAAAATTGAAGAAATTTTTCGATACTCTTGAGACATACTGATGCTTCAAGAGTGGGTGTATGCATCGAGCTGCGGAGGTCGGTGATGGTCCTACCAGCCGCAGAGAAGCTACGCTCGGAAGGGGTGCTGGTGGCTGGGATGGCTAGGAAGATTCGAGCCATCTTCCCAAGGATGGGGAAGCGAAGACTTTCTTTGCGCCAAAAGAAAAGTGGGTCACGACTCCCATCTTCTCGCTCAGCTGAAAGGTAAGTTTGAAGCTCGGCTTCGATACCTTGTGCTTTCTTTTTAGCGACAAACGATCGGGGGCCATCTTCGACTTCTGCTTGCGGTTCTTTGTCAATCTGAGGACTGTCTTTATGAAAGGTTTCACACTGGTTCAGAAAGAGAGTCTTCCAACCTTCGCAATGATAGATTCCCGCTTGTTCTAAAGTTGTATCAGCTAACTCCTGATCCTTGCTACGCGGATCGAGAAGTAAGGCGCAAAGATATACAGGTTTTTTAAGTACCTTGTCATAGTATGACTCGGCTTTGGTTTTCATTGGTTGGATAGCTTGGCAAAGCTCTTGAGCATCGTAGTTACACCAGCTCTATGGAAGCGGGAATAAAATGGATCAGATGAGCATTGACTCAAAGTTGATCAATTGAAAAAAGAACCTACCGAGTTCAATTTTTTGATGATCCATTCGTATACTGGTATCACGTCTCCCAGGCTGGGGTATTTACTTGCTGAAAGATCCTTTGTGGCCCGCTCGAAAGGTTCAAGGAATTCAATAAGATGCCCAATCAGCTTCCACTTGTCATTGGACAAGGTGTATTGCTTGTAATCTGGATCATTTCGGCACTTCGTGTCGATAGATACACGTAATTTGAACGCTCGACGATAACATTCTAGATCCGAGTTCCATCGTGTGTCAACGTTGCGGATGAGGTTGAGTGAGTAGCCTAAGTCTGCCTCGACTTGCTTGAGGAACGATTGTACACGTTGAGGTGATTTGTAAATCCATGCAATCAGTTTTAAAAGCCGAGTAAGCACGGAGTGGATGTCGGATGGCTGCATTGGTTCAAGAAGAATAGCAAGGTCACGCGGAACAGGTCCTTCTTTGCCAAGCTTTCTAGAAAATGCCTTGAGTCCGTCTCGAGCAATAAGGTTGATAACATGTGCGACACATCCAAGAAGATTTTCGTCCCGATTGAAGTTTGGGCAGACTTGTTCAAGAGCATCAGCCATGGTACCATTTGAGCTCGCATTATCAGCAACAACACAGTAAACTTTATTAAGCAGGTTGTACTCTTCAAGAACTGGGATGAGATGTTCTGCGAGGTTGGTACCAGTATGGTCGCCATCGATCTCTTTGAGGCATAGTATTACTTCCTGAATTTGGAAATTTTCGTTGATCCAGTGGGCTGTGACACCAAGGATAGATTTGCGGTTTGGTGAGGTCCAAGCATCGCATGTGATACTGACTGCCAGTTGATCTTCTAAGACTTTCTTCA